CCCAGCAATCCTGGGGAACCAGAGTGGGCACCGCCGCCAGCGGGTCCCGGGCAGGCCCAACTCTGCCTACGCCCCGCCCCTCGCTTCGCGCCAGGATCCGTCACCTCACCTGGGTGGCCTTCCCCCACAGACTCTGAGGTGAAGAGAAACGTGCCCTCCTCGATGAACGCCTCATGGAAGCCGTTGAGCTGCCCGTTCATGTTGGTGTTGGTGACAGTAGCGGTAAAAGTGGCGTTGAAGAGAAAAGAGCGGTGAGGCGACGACTGCGAAACGCGCAAGCAGAAGACAGCGTTCCACTAACCTCGGGCTGGCGGCGCGGAATGAACGAGGCGGCGGGCAGCGGGCCCAGTATTTATACACAGCGCTGCGCGCGCCCGGTTCTGGCCCCGCCCCTCGGCCCCGCGCGCCTATGCGCCACTCGCGCGGGGGGAGAAGGGGCGGTTCGCTGAGGGGAGCTCGGGCTAAACCACTCAGCGAGGCACGGGGAGGGAGTGGAGGTAACGCGCCCTTCCAGCGAATACTTAACTATCGTAAGCATTCATAACAAGTGGTAAGTGGAAACGCGAGCGTACGGGGTCGTTGTACCCTTCCGTGTTCGGTGTGGGAGGAAAAGCGATAAGGGCTTAATGCCGCTGTTCCCCTGTGCTGTGACATGGCACCGCCCTTCCGACCGTTGGCCGGGCTATCTGGCCGCGAGGTCGCGTCCCCCAGCGGTGGCAGCGGGAATCGTGAAGGTTTTGTTCTCTGGCTCTTAGGCGTAGGTCTTTCCGGTCGCCCCGCCTTTGGATGCCCGAGTGACAGGGGGCCAGTGGCTGTCAGCCACGTGAAAGTGGCCATCTTGGTTGGTCAGCGAACGATTCTTCGCACCGCAGTATTCATCCCCACCCTGCGCGCTTCTGGCGGCTGGAAATCCTGAGGCGGGCCGCCTATTTGCTAGTAATTTCTTGGTTAAAGCTTCTGTGATGAAAATGGCCGAAAAGCAGAATAATGAGAGTTCTGGCATTGATTTAAACGATTGCCGTCCTCCTTCCACCCCCCCCCCAGCACTAAAGTTTCTGAAAGACCTTTTCCTTTGTTGACCCTTCAGCTCCAGCCATTTCTCCATTCAAGAAAGGAGGCCTTTCACAAGGCTGACCTTGCACTTGCTGACTTTTCCTATGTCTGTAAGGAGAAAAAATGAATCGTTGTTTAGAGAGTCATTTCAATATTCTGTTCAAGAGACAGTCGAATATTTTCTTATAGAAAAGCCCTAGAGCCTTTGTATAAGATTAAGCAGATCTCCTGACAAGGTGAAACTGTCCGTTTCATGAAGCTTTCACTTTAAAAATGTCCACATGCGTTTGTGCCAGTTTTGCCCATTAAAGGAATTCTAGGGGAGACGAAAAGAACAAAACTTGAGCCAACAAGGAGTAGAGAATCAGAAACCGAGTTCATGGAGCCCTGGTTTGGAAGGAGCCTACAAATGGAAAGGAGGGCGGATGTCACTGCCTGTTTAAGGGCTGCAGCCTCGGTGCAGGGCTGGCAGGGGCTGCTATGGTGGTGGCCCTGAGCGCATTAACATCGGCTTTAATGATGTTATTAGGAAGGCCTGCTCCTAGGATAGGATAGATGCACTGGGGACGTGAATGAGACCTCAGTAGGAGCCTCCTGCTGCTTATCCTCAGAGAATTAGGTAAATTATGAACAATCCTCTCAACGACCAGCGGGAGGAAAGGTAGGAGTTTGCGGGCTGGGAAACAATGGAAGCATTTGAGCTGTACCAAGGGCTTTGACAAGGACGGTAAAGAAAGGGCTTATCTCTACACCTCATGACCATAGCCATGGTCACTCAAAGCAGGCGATATAAAAAAGAGACAACATCAATGTTAATTTTATTTATTGGCCTTTATTTTTCAAACTAACTTCATGGAAAACTGTTTGACTAATAATTTTGAAGTGTTATTTCGCTTTTCTTTTTTTAAAGCAGAATGCCAATTTATTAACTCACAATGAGTAATAAAATTGCCTACGAATTGCATGTGTAGGCTGGTTGGTGCATTATCTCCTAGCAGAAAAATCTATATGGGAAGCCAGAATATAATTACAAGGTTATTTGATTAATATGGAGTCAGAACAAGGGGATTGGTTGAATTCAATGATTAGCTCATCCTGATACCCTTATGTTACCAGCTCCACTGTGGGCTGGTCCTGCCAAGGAGATTAGAATCAGCTGTTCATACTTGCTTACCGACTTCTCTTTCTTGCTCATAGCATGTATAATATCCTGGTTAAGGGTCGGGGTTTTGGAGTCCAGCGTCTACCACTTATTAAGAGTGTTGAGCAAACAACCTTTCTACATGTCCATGTCATGAGTCTGTAAAAAATTGGGATTAAATGTAATCATGCAAGTAAAGTCTTTAACATAGTATCTAGCACATAATAGGTTTGTTTTTTGTTTTTTTTTTCATGTTAGCTGTAATAATTAAACCTTCAGTGGCTTCCAATTGCTGTTAAGATAAAAACTAAAATTGCTACATGCTCTGAAAGGCCGGAGTGTGATTTGCCTGCTGCTTCTTCAATCTTATCTTGTGCCACTTTCTTTTCTGTCTTCTACTTTGGATTTCTTTTAATTAGTAACAGTTAAATTTATTAATTGATTAGTATCAAACCAAAATCGGACACATTTTCATTGATTTTATATTTTTTACATTTTCCCTTCCTCTCAAATATTTATGAGCACCTCCTGTTAGACAGACCCACAGACTGGTGATATGACAGTCCTGATCTCTGCCCACCCGGAGGTGTAAATGGAGGGCAATGGCTGGCTAACTCCTCATTCTTCCTACCCTAGCTCAGCTGCCACTTCCTGGATGAAGCCTTCACCAACACAGATTTCTCACAGGGTCCTGTGTTTTCCTATATGGCACTAAGTGCTGTTTGAAATTACAGTTTTGGCAATTAGTGAATGTCTCAACTCCCATCACATTTGTAAGCTCCATGACAATAAGAAGGTGGTTTTTTTGCTAAACTTTGTTGCTGAGTGCCTGACACACAGAAAGTGCTTAGAATGTTTGAGGAAAGGCAAAGAGGGAAAATAAGGAAGGAGACAAGAGGAAAGAATAATAAATATAAGGGATGGCAGAAGGAGGTGAGGAAATGAGAAACCCTGGAGATCATGTAAAATAAATGAAAAGAGCTACTGCTTTGTTTTAGTCATAAGCATAATTAATAAAATTAAGAGCTCTTTAATGGGGAAGCTCATCAGCATCCTGTTCTCAAAAGAATGAAATTTCTGATTCTATACATTAGTTCCTTTAGGATAAAATAAACCAGGAAAAGTTACTAGTTTATTTCATGTTTAACATTAATGAGATTTGTGAAATGTTGAAATGTTGTTTGTGAATGTGAAATATTGTAAAGCACATACGAAAAATTTAATCACTAAAGGCTCCAGATTTCTCAACCCAAAGAACATTAATGTAGCAATAGTCCTATGAAAGACTATTGGATAAACTAGTATTTGTGACTCAGACAGCAAATATGACAGCTCCAGGTCTTATTAGCCATCAAGGATAGAGGTCTAGTAAGAGCATTTGCACTGCAAGAAGCTGTTGATTTGGCAGGAGAAAAGACGAAGATGACACTAGGTATATCAAACAGTGATAGTGAAGGTCTGGAGATGCTCAGAAGAAAGCTCCTAAGCTGTGAGTCTTAAGAGTACTTTCCTTCTATGTGATAACAGACCAAGAGGAGAGAAATCTAGCCAGATGTCTTTAAAATCAGCCAGTCTTTTAGGGTCTCAGAAGCAACTCAGATGGCCTCGATGCTAGCTAGCTCTAGTGGGATCTGAAACAAGTACTATGTGAATCTCCTCAATTTTAGGCTTTTTGTAATTTGTTTTTGTTTCTGTTAATGATAACAATATAATTTATTGTGACAGGCACTGTTCTAATATTTATACCTCAACAATTCTAATGAGACAGGATTTTCCTTCCTGTTTTACAAATGAAGAAACTAGGATGTAATTCACTAAGTCACAAATCAGATTAGCAGTGGAGCTGGAACTTGGTCCTGGGTCCAAGCTCTAGGTGCAGCTCCTTGTTACATGTCAAACAACAATACTTCATACTTTCTGAGGCAATTAATGATAAAATCGGTTTGTATTCTTCCATGCCTTTTTCTATAAACACATTATGTATATGACGAAAGTGTTATCTTTCTGGATTATGGACATATTTGTGGGAAGCAGTGGTTTCTCGGAGTTTAATGTGCATATGAATCACCTGGGGATCTCATTAAAATTTTTAGCAATATTCTGCATTTCTAACAATCTCAGATGGTATTGATCCTGCTGGACTATGGATTACACTTCGAGTAGCAAGGATGTTGACTAGCAGTCTGCAAACTGGGATAGGGCACTGCGACTACACGAAACTCTGCAAGGTCATTGATAGTTTTAATTAAATCTATTTCCAGATCCCATCTTTCATATGAACTATTTTCTAAAACTGACCTGCTTGAGTTAGAAGAAGAGGTTCTTATCTCCCAAGTACCCTGTCACAGTGTCCCTTCTCTTAAGTGATTAAGGAAAGAAAGCCCTCTCACCCAGCTGAATCTCACTCTGGGATGCTAAACAAAGGAACACACTGAAATATTGGTGTAAGTATTGAGAAAATGAATGATTCTGATAACTAACAAATCTTTTTTTTGCAAGTTAAATCTTGTCTAATCCTTTTTTTTCTACACAATCGAATGACTTCATGACGTTAGCTGATAGATCATTAAACATAATTTTGGATAGATCACTATGTGGTTTTTTTGTTTGTTTGTTTGTTTGTTGTCATTTAACTCAGAAGGAATTAAAAATACTTAGTAAAAGTGCTCTAACAAAACTCTTTCCATAACTAGTTATTTATATGAACAAGGTGCTTACATCTATAAAAATGAAAACTAGGATTAGAATCAATAATGAACTCTTTCTAAAAATAAGTAATATTCCTCCATGGATTTTAAACTAATTAGGGGGGAAAAACCATTCACTTCATAACACACACATGTATGCTGATATAGTTTTCTTTTTTGATTGATAATTGTAAAAAATAATATATTTGTTATTTTGATCAATTCTGTACTGATTATTATATTGATAAGTCAAACCAAAGGAAATTTTTCTCACTCTTAGAGACTTATAATAAACATTTTCTAATATATTTTAATTTATATGCATATTTTGATACAGAATAGATAATAAGGTGATCAATAAAAGACTTTCAAGATAAAATATAAAATAGATTACATTAGTATAAAATTCTATTGGGGAAATAGATTGGAGTTCATAGAGTAAAAGAAATAATACAAATTTTCTCACTGTTGAAGAATTTGTTCATGTATTTTTATTTTTATTTATTTTTTATTCATCTATTTTTTAAATGAGTGATGGTGGGTATTAATTCTCTATGTATTTAGATTTCATTGATGTGTTTAGGAGTGATGGTTTATTATGTTTTACATGCCAACATTTACAATATGCTGAAAGTTATAACCTTTTAACTATACTTACGATGAAAAACTTTAGATGTCCACTTAAAAATATGCTGGTAGCATGTAATTAAAATATATATATTTTTGGAGTTAAAAGCTGCAAAACTTTGAAGACAACCTACCTAGACCAATTAAGAAGAGAAGATACTCCAAGAATTCAACCTCGATCGTTTAGAAATGAATTTCTCTGAGTTTGTGTGAAAGTGATTGTAAAAGAGACAACCTAGGATGGTCCAGGCAGGAACTTCATGTTGAGCAGGTCCAAATAGCATGTGGAAATATTATCAAAAGTGTGATCACTCTCTGGTATAAAATAGTGTGTAGATGCTATTAATCAGATATTTTGCAGAGTTTCTACACCCTCGGCAGTATTGACATTTTGTGCTGGATAATTCTTTGTTATGTGGAGCCGTTTTGTGCATTGTAGGATGTGTAGCAGTATCCCTGGCCTCTACCCACTAGATGCCAGTAGCACCCTACCCCCAACACCCCAAATTGTGACAACAAAAAATATACTCCTTGGTTAAGAACCACTGAGCTGTTAGAAACATTGCAGGGTTATTATTGTTAATGTTGGAGTTCATAGGTCGAGGTCCAAATTGCCTGTACCCTGTCCTGTATGGAAGGCAGCTTCGTTTTCATTCCCTTTGAAGATTGGAATGAAGTTGTAAGTTCCTAAAAGTCTTACATGATGAAGCTCACGGCCCTGCAGAGTATAAGGCCCCTGTCTGTGGACTACTACAGCTTGAATCTCTGACTCTGATAGATAGTCCCACCTGGTTGGGTTTGCGGACACAGGTGTGGGAGCGACATGGGTGAGGCTTGATGGTGAAGCAGATTTGAGGCTGGCCACTGCCCTCACTTTGCCTGGAGACAAAGCTATAGGTAGTGTGGAGATGGCCTCCCTACTTGAGAACCAAGAATACTAGCTGACCATTATATCACACATAGTCGATCTAATTGATCAAATCCAGGAACATAGGAAGTGTTTGTGGCCATGATTTTGTGTCTGTGTGGTGTTTCACCTTTATTTTAGGGACAAAACATACTGGTGAATGTCACTACCTGCTCTCCTTGTAGGTCATCCTGGACATGGACGGAAAATGGCCCTTGCTAGACAAGTACAAGCTCAATAAAATTGCTCAAGACCTGCAAATTCACTACCTGTGGTCCAGAGCCACAGGAAAATGCCAGCTCCCTTTGGTTCAGTGGTTCATAAGCTTTTTTGGGGTTTGAAGAAAGCTATGGATCTCTCCCTAGAAACATGCACCACATACACTCATACACACATAATTCTATGTATAATTTCTAAAGTTTCAACCATATACTACAAGAATCCTTTCTAGTATCTCTCATAAATTTAAATTCACATTCCCTAGTACTCTGCAGTCCCACCTCTAGAATTCATTCTAAAGAAATAGTAGCATTTGATGTGTAAATGTGTTGTGTGTATTTATATTAGCATTGTTTATAATAGCAAAAATATAAAAACAGCTTAAATTGATACTAATGGGAAATTAAAGCATTATTAATTTAATTGATTCATAATGGACTATTTTGCAGCTATTAGAGAATGGGGTAGAACTATCTGTACTGACTGAAAATAGGTCTATGATATTCTGCTGTTTAAAAAACGTGCAACAATGTAGAGTAGCATCTTATTTTGTAAAAATTATATATATGTAAATATATATATATTTGGATTCATAGAATAAATTCTAAGAGTCTAAACACCAAACTTTCAGTGGATACCTCTTACACTTTTTCAGTATTCACTCCAGTGTTACTTGAAATTGTAAAAATTTGCAAGAATTATTTCTGTAAGTTAAAAAAACAAAAAAGATTACCAGCAACAACAGAAGTGAGTTATTTCTAAGGTATAGACTGCGGTGGATGAACAGGCTTCAGTCTAGTCAGCTCCCCCAGGAAGATTTGGCATTTCTATGGCACATCTCCCATGCGAAGCTCCCAAATCCAAATGACCTGACTCTGAGGTGCTAGACCCACTGCAGGGCCCTTTGTGAGAAGGACAGCCTTTATGTGCCATCGTGTTGATTCTTCTGAAGTCACTTGTCCCCAGGGAGACCACTGAATTTTAACTCTTTTAAATACATGAACTTTACAAAATTATCTGTCAAAAATAGATCTGTCTCTGTCTCTCTGTCTCTCTGTCTCTCTGTCTCTCTGTCTCTCTCTCTCTCTCTCTCACACACACACACACCCTAGATATTGCCCACATTCCAGCCTAAATTACAGTGCTCTGAGATACCCTATTTCAGAGTACCTATCCCAGAGATACTGCCATAGGCATTCCTTTGGATTGAGAATTTCACTTAGAGATTAGACGACATTCATTGTGTCTGGACTCTGGGCCTTGAGAACCATCTCTTACAAACTATCTTGTGGGTAGTCCTTGTAGGCATGGCCTGATAAGTGCAGACTCTGCCCTCTCCTTGGACCACTGCTATGCCAGGCCTACTGCTGCTACTAGTGATATTGCCAGGCTCTGACCCTCTTCCATTGGCCTCCTGCCATATGTTCATCCTGAAGTTCCTTCAGACACACTTGGAAACACATAAGTGCGGGGAGTGGGTGTTGAAGACTCTTGTATTACACTTCATTTTTCTTATCTAAGCAACCAAAATCACCAAAGACACTTTTTAATAGTAAGTGGATCCTTGTAGTTTTTTTTCTTGGGAACTGAAAAATAAATACAGATATCCCTTTTTTTTTACAGTTATTTTTTTAAAAAACTTATTTCATATACATTTATAAAAGTAATAAAACACATTAAAGAAAGTTTGGAGGAATAAGAATTTGAGTTCAGAAATAAACCCATACATCTATGGTCAATTGATTTTTAGCAAAGGTGCCAAGACCATTCAATAGGGGCAAGAATCATCTTTTCAACAAATCATGCTGGGACAACTGGATAGCCACATGCAAAAGAATGAAATTAGGCCCTTACCTCACACCATATACAAAAATTAACTCAAAATGGATCAAAAATCTAAACATAAAACTACACAACTTCTGGAATAAAACATAGGAGTAAATCTTCATGATCTTGGACTAGACAATAGTTTTATAGATATGACACCAAAAGCACAATTGGGCAAAGTAAAAATAGATGAATTGGACTTCACCAAAATTAAAAATTCTTCTGCATTAAAGGAAACTCAACAAAATGAAAGGACAACCCACAGGATGGGAGAAGATATTTACAAATCAGATACGTGACAAGGGTCTAGTATCCAATATATATATAAAGAACTCTACAACTCAACAATAAAAAGACAAGAAATCTAATTTTGAAATGGGTGAAGAATTTGAATAGACATCTCTCTAAAGAAAATATACAAATGTCTAATAAGCACATGAAAAGCTACTCAACATCATTAGTCATTAAAGAAATGCAAATCAAAACCACAGTGAAATACCACTTCACGCCCACTAGCATGGCTACAATAAAAAAGATGGACAATAACAAGCGTTGACAAGGATGTGGAGAAATTGGAACACTTATACATTGCTGGTGGGAATGTAAAATGGTGCAGCTGCTCTGGAAAACAGTTTTGTAGATTCTAGGAAAGTTAAACATAGAGTTGCCATGTGACCCAGCAATTCCACTCCTAGGTACATACCCAAGAGAGTTGAAATATATGTTCACACAAAATCTTGTACTCAAATGTTCATAGCAGTGTTTTCACAACAGCCCAAAGGTGGAAACAAACCAAATATCTATTGATGGATGAATGGATAAACAAATGTAGTATATTCATACAGTGGGCTATTATTTGGCCACGGAAAAGAGTGAAGTACTAAATTATACTATGACATGGACAAACCTCAAAAACTTTATGCTATGTGAAAGAAGTCACAAAAGATCACATATTATATGATTCCATTTTTATGAAATGTCCAAAATAGGCAAATCTACAGAGACAGATTAACGGTGGCCAGGGCCTAAGAGGAAAAGGGAGTAGAGAGTAATTGCTAATGGGTAAGGGGTTTCTTTTGGGTATGATGAAGTAAGGAGTGGTCAGCGCATTGGGCCAAGCACCAGTGGGCAGAAAGCTCCAGGAGTAGGCTCTTACTTGAATTTCCAGAGACCACTCAATCTTCTTTGATTGGTTGGGGTTCATACTTGGGCAAAGGTGAAATTCATGGAGTTCTATCAATATATTAAGTTCCCTGGGAAACTAGACAATAGTTCAAATACCCAAACTCATAAACTAATCTCCAAACGGACAGAGGATATGAGCAGTCTATAAGAAACAAAGAGCTAAAAGACGTGAAAAATCTTCAGCATCACTCATAGTTAAAGAAATGCATCACAAAACAATGAAATTTCATTTTTCATCTATCAAACGGACAAACAAATAAAAGTTTGGTAATGCCCAGTAATCACAAGATTATGGGGAAATAGGCACCCTCATAAACTGATCCTGGGAGTGTAAACAGATTCATCTCTCTGGAGAGCAATTTAGCAATGTCTGTCAACATTTTGAATGTTTGTTCTCATTGACTCAGCAATACTACCACTAGGAATTTGCCCTAAGGATATACTGGCAAAATTATGCCAAAATCATGTGCAAATATGATTACTGCAGCATTGTAATAACAAAAACCTGGAAAGTACTTAGCCATACATCAGCAGGGGACCAGTTAAATAGATCTATGTAATGGAAAAGTATGAAATCATTAAAACATGAGGCAGAACTATATGTGTGGACCTGGAAAGATCTTCTAAATGTGTTTTGTTAAAACCAATGTGCACAGCAGTGTAATCTCATTTGTGTTAAGTTAAAAAATACATAGGTATATGCAGACTTTTTTTTAGGAATGATACATAAGAGGTGGTAAGTTTTGGAGAGTAGCACTGGAGTTAGGAAAAGATAACTTTTGCCTTTTATTTGATGCTTTTCCTTAATATTTGATTTTTTTTTTACCATGTAAATATAAGATTTAAAAATATATATTTTAAAAGCAGACGAAGAATGTGGAGGTATAAAGAGAGAAAAGAAAGATCCCTTAGATGGGAGATTATGGTTTGTCCTCTCAGGATAATCTTGTTTTAGCTGTATTAATAAAAGCACTGTGACTGGATCATTTGGGTTTTAGAAAGACCACCAGTGCAGCCGCCTGAGGATGGAAGGGAGATATGAGACCAGAGACAGGGCAGCTGGTCATAAGGTTTTTGCAACAGAGTGGGCCTCAAATTTAGGTGGTAAGGGTGGAGTGGAGAGACTGCCCCTGAGAGGAGAGTTATTAAAAAAGGGAAACTGACAGCCTTGATGCTTGATTAGACGAGGAAGATGAGGCCCAGGCATCTGCCTAGGGAAGCTGAGTATATAGCAATGCTGCCCAAGGAAACACTGGGAAGGAGAGGTTAGAGAGACCAGAAGAGGGTGGGGAAGAAAATAATGAATTTAATTTTTGAACATGTTGCATTGAGGAGCATGCTGAATGTGATCGTGTTAAATAGACATATAGGTATGGAGCTCAGAGAATTCTGAACTGGAGATGGAACACATCAGATTAGGTTAGATAATCAAAATTGATCATAAGGAAATTGTGTAGACCAAAAAAAAAAAAAAAAGGGCCCATTTCAAAGTGGGTCTCTAGAGATCACCTAACCTGTAACTGTTGAGTAGAGGAAGACAAACCTGGAGTGAGACTGAGGAGTGATCAGAAGCATGAGAGGAAAAAGTGAGAGGAGGGGAGAGGAGGGAAGTCTAGGCTCACAGACTATTGTTCTCTGCTCCTGGCTAGACACTGTGGCTGATTTTTGAAGCTATTCCCTCACCAATGCCAATTGCTCTGCTTTTGCCACATCTGCCCAGTAAATCCCAATCCTGAATTTTCTATTTATGCTCCTGAAAAAGACCACCCAACCAATGAGAATGGCCCCACTTCAAGTTCATGGTTTATACCTCCTCCGGGCTCTTTTCATACCACCCATCAATTTATTTTTCTTTATCTCTGGTTGGCTCTGGCTTTCATTCCCATTATTCTAAATTACCACCATGTTCACTTCTCACATCTCACTTCCACTCTCATTGGGACAAATGAGGCCCTCTTTCTATTAATGTATCTAAAACTTCTTTCCCAAATATTCAGCCTTGGAGGATGAGGTTCAGCTCCTTTTCAGCTCTAGAATGCCCCCAAGAGGCCTCGCTAACCCTGTTCCGCCCCTGAGCCTTGGTTACTTGCTCCTTCTTCTGTCTTGCTGTATCACACATTATATGTTTCTCTATAATGGCGTTTACCATGCTGAACTAAAGTTATCTCACTGTTTCCTCCAATTATCTTGATCCCATGCATGATATTTCCCCCCCTTAACTTCTTATTGATATGTAACATCCAAGCAATTGCATATTGTAAACGTGTAGCTCACAGAATTTTCACAAACTGAACATATGCATATAATCAGCACCCAGATTAAGAAACCAAGCATTATAGCACCCAGAACCCTCCTTGTGCTCTCTTATACTATCTCTCTCCCCAGGGAAACCTCTATCCAGTCTTTCAACAGCATAGGTTAGTTTCAGCTGTTTTTGTAAATTTTTAAAAATAGGTCAAAAATAGTATGTGGTCTTGTGTCTGGCTTTTTTGATCATCATCACATT